CCACGCGGGGGGGGGCCGCTGCCAGCGCTGGACCGTGGGGCTTGCTCCAGGATCTGGGTGGGACAGGATGGTGGGGCCAGATGGGGGCTGGACCGTGGGGCTTGCTCCAGGATCTGGCTGGGACAGGGCGGTGGGGCCAGAGGGGGGCTGGACCCTGATTGGGGCATTGTCGCTGTTGGTGCCTTTTCCAGTTTTCTTTCCTGTGATTGGGAGAAGCCATCCAAACAGCCATCTCTAGTTTAGTGATAGAGATGTCGCCGTGTTAGTCTGGGGTAGCTGAAGCAAAATGCAGGACAATGTAGCACTTTAAAGACTAACAAGATGGTTTATTAGATGATGAGCTTTTGTAGTGTCGTTAATCAGCTAATCGAGTAGTCGCTGGAGTTTCCATTGACTACTCGAGTAGTTGATGGCGAGAGGGGGCAGCGCTCACTACCCCTGCTGCCGCTCTGCAGTTTAAATGTAGTAAGAGCCCAGCTTGCCGCATCCCAGCTCCTGCTACGTTTAAATTGCAGATTCTCAGTGGTGTTAGTGACTGGGGGTGGCGTAAGGTGGGACTAAGCCATCTTGGCTCCCACTGGCCCCAGGAGCTAACCCTGCTCGTCTCTGCCTGTTAAATGTAGTAAGAGCCCGCAAGGGGGGAGTGAGTAGTTGACTCAACTACTCAATAAGCATATACTTACCGAATAGTCGACTGCTTCCTTACATCCCTAATCTCTAGTGATGTCCAAACAAGTACATGCAAAACTAGCTCACTACACAGAGGCATATGGAAGCAATATAACCTTTTGCTGCAATCCTACTAAAATATCCAAAGCCATAATAAAATTACTTTGTTTTGTTTGCTAATTCTTTTAGTGGCTAGGCCAGGGGCAGTCAAAATACAGCCCATGGATTGGATCCAGCCCATTAAACATTCAGATGTGGCCCACCACAGTCCTGTGGACTATCAGTGTCCTGTTGCCCAGGGGGGAGCTTCAGGCAGGCTCTCTGTTTGCCTCACCCCCACATGCTCAAAATGTGTGCCTCTCCACACAATGGCTATGTCTACACTCGCGGCTGCTTGCGCAAGTACGGCCGTTCTTGCGCAAGCATCTGCAGAGCATCCACATTGCCCTCCCGCTCTTGCGCAAGGAAATTTACAGTACGGCGTAGTAAGAGAGGTCTCCTTGCGCAAGAGCTACGCCCTTTTTTAACAGGTGTAAGCCCTCTTGCGCAGGAGCTCTTGCACAAGAGGGCAGTGTGGACGCTTGGCAGGGATTTCTTGCACAAGAAAGCCCGATGGCTAAAATGGCCACCAGAGCTTTCTTGCGCAAGAGAGCGTCCATGCTGCCATGGGCACTCTTGCGCAAAAGCACAGCGTGCACATGGCAGCATGGACGTTTTCTTGCGCAAGACTTCTTGCACTAGAACCCTTGCTCAAGATATTCTTGCGGAAGAAGCCTCCAGTGTAGACATAGCCAATGTGTGCCCCCAGGGAGTGGTCTCCATGTGCTGCCACCAGCACAATCCTCGCAGCTCCTGTTAGCTGGAAACCAGCCAGTGGGAGCTGCCTGGGATGCACTTACAGTGCAGGTGCACAAAGACTCTCTCCTTTTATGGTGCATGCTAAGTAGGTCACCTTCCCAAGGGTACCACTGGGCTGCTGGCCGGGAGGCACCTAGAGTAAATGCCTCCCGGCTAGAGCCTACACCTGACATCCCACCCTCAACTACACCCCAGGTCACGTCCCAAACTCTTGCACTCCCTCCTGCACCCCAGTCCTGGGTCATAACGCAAACCCTTTGCATCCCTTACCCCTGGTCACAGCTCCAGACCTCACACTCCCTTCTGCAGTCCTCTACCCTGGACTCCTTTGTGTACCCAATCTCCATTCCAAATCCTGCACCCCCTCCATTTAATATCCTAGAAAAGTGCAGCCTTTGTCCACTACCATATTCTTGGAGGGGCCCCTCATCAAAAATTATTGCCCACCCTGAGCTAGTTGTAGCAGAGCTGAGATGAGGGAGAAAAGATACAGTATTTTATGCAGCGTACCAGAAATACAGAGGCAGCAGTGCAGGGTGGCAGCCAACTCCCTGAGAGCTGGTGCATGCCAGGAGCCAGTTTTTAAGCTAGCTGTTGGCAAGTACCAGCTCCTACTCCAATCCCAGGGAGCCAGCTGCTGCCCTGCACTGCCAGCTCTGATACAGAGCCCTCAGGGTGACTGTTGGCTCCCTGGGAACTGGATGAGAGTCTGTGTGTAACAGTTCACAGTAATAGATAAGCCTCAGCTTGTCGGTTTACTGTGTGAGTGGTTATACTTTTACATATCTAATGCATAACGGTGTCTTTTGAGAGCAGCATCAGGCCCCGATTCTCTTATCTGTTTTCATATTCTCCTGCCTGTATGTGTGTCTATGTAACCTTGCTTCTGTCAATGAGTGCTCAGCTCTGGTTTACTAGAGATCATATCTCCTTCTCCCCTTACCATCTGCATTTACATCTAATTTGCTTGTTCTGTCTATTTTGTACCACACAGTTTGTTGTGTAGTCATTCTGGAAGTCTCCTGTTTGGGGATGGGGCGGTGATCAGGATGAGACGTTTGACTCAGACATTTCATTTGTTGCCTTGATAGATGGCTCTTCCCTATCATCGGCCACATGGGTATCTGTACATCGGCGGGAGTCATTCGGGACTTTGCGGGCCCTTACTATGTCTCCGTAAGTAAATTATGGTTCTATTCTAGTTGGTAAATGAGGAACTTGGGGTTGGCCTAGTTCCCGCCTTCCTCAAATACTTCTCTCAATATTTTGCATTTCCAAAGTGAAATGAAAATTTGAAATTACTAAATTTTAAATTAAATTTAATTTAAAAATTTAATTTTAAATTAATGGAGATTGCCTATCTCCTAGAACTGGAAGGGACCTTGAAGGTCATTGAGTCCAGCCCCTGCCTTCACAGCAGGACCAAGAACCATCCCTGACAAACTTTTTGCCCCAAATGGCCTCCACAAGGATTGAACTCACAACCCTGGGTTTAGCAGGCCAATGCTCAAACCACTGAGCTATCCCTCCCCCCTAAATGATACTGCTGTGTATCATTTTTTCCACTGGCTAACTCTGTATTGGATTCAGGGCAGTCTAAAGCAGCCATGTTAGTCACCTTTGTGTTGACTGCTGGCCAGTGCAGTTAAGTTGGATATTGCAATCAAGGATAGGTTAATTTGCTTTATTGAGCAATAATGTAAGTGTGTATTTTGACCCCTTTTACTTCCAGAGAAGCATTAGATGCCAGTGGCAAGGGTCAGTCTGATGCGTCCCACAACACAGGTGAATATTGTCATTTTGGGGTCAACATCAGGAGTTCAGTTTTGTGGTAACTTACAGATTGACTGAGTTAGGAAAAGGTGTATTTTATGTTATGACTTCCTTGGTAATTCATGCCCAATTACTAGTAGGGATGTGAACAATTAGTTGACTATCTGATAAGCAAGCTTGTTGACTAGTTTCCTCTTTGCTGTCTCTATCAGAAAGAGGCAGCTAGGGGAGGAAGAAGAGGATATTTCAAAGCAAGTGTCAGGCTGTTCTCTCGGCGTTTCAAAGTGGCAAGGTTTCAAAGTTCACAGGGAGCCATGTAGCGCTGCCACTTGAGCCTGATGCCGGGCTTGCAGCATTTCAAAGCAGCAGTGCTGCACGGAGCCTGGGGTTAGCAGGGGTCCCCAGCTGACCCTGGGCTTCATGTGGCGCTTTCACCTTGAAAGTATAGCAACAGCTCAAGGGCTGTTTCTACACTTCAAAGGCGGAGATGCCATATCAACTAGTCGAATAGTCTATTTGATTAGTCAATTACCCACAATTTAACATCCCCATTTTCCAGCATTTGTTATATTTACTTTTAATTTGATGGACTTTGAGTGTAAGGGAGTCTCAGTTGATGTAATTCACACTGACACAAATGTGTACAGCTTTTATCAATATGTAAAAAATATGTTTCAGTACAGAAGTAAATGGAATCAAGAAGGAAAAGGTAAGGTAAATATATCAAATATGGAAGATGTAGCAATGTATCTAGTACACTTAACCAAACACTTATTTCAACAGCAGTTGCATCAGTATCGATGAGAGTCTAACCTTGAGTACACTCAAATAAGATCTGTGTCTAGGTAAAATGAGACTACCGAGGAAAGAACTTATTCATGCCATGAAATAAGCCTTACAGAAAAGATGCACATATTGAATTTTGTGTGGTCTGTGTTCCCCTAAGAGATGTTTCTCCTTTCTGTAGGAAGACAACATGGCATTTGGGAAGCCGGTGAAGTAAGTGCTACTGTTTCTTTTTATTAAATGTCTAACAACTAAATATGCAAATATTCTTTCTTCACTGAAACCAACATAAACATGTAATAATGTAGGTAACATTCTCAGAGATCAAATGCCCTAATTCAAAAGGGCAGCTAGTGTGTCTGTGCTTCCCAAGAGAAAACCTTACATTAAATCTGATTAGAGGCATGACTGCAAAGTTCTGGTGTGCAAATATTGAATCTCTAATTATTTTAATGACTATTATGGTAAGGACATTGTTAAAGTAGAATTTGTGGCAGAGAGTTGCTACAAGTAAATGATATCTAAAATTGAATGATAAGCAGTCGATACTCATGTTTTTATTCATCATGGGGCAAATCAAAATATTTGTACATTGACTTCTAATTTTTTGTACTCTACAGGAGGCCCCCGACTTGCAACACAATTCGTTCCAGAGGAAGCGTCGCAAGTCGGGGGCGTTGAAACTCAAAGCTGCATTTACGGTAGGCGCCATGCGCTGTCGTAAATACAGGCCGAGGATGTAAGTCGGGGGTTTCTGGCCTCTTCCACGCTTACAAAAATGGTTGTAAGTGCGAGGGGTTGGAACTCAGGCGGTCGCATCTTGGGGGCCTCCTGTATTCAAATAAATATATTGATGGAATTAGTTTTTTAAATTCCCCAAGGAAACTGGAGTTCAGAATCTAATTTGTTCCATGTGTACAATACTATCTTGCCATATGAAATGAAGCTGTTTTAGGTTGGGAGATTAAGCCTGGCTCCTATTGCCGTCTTATCACATGCACCTCTCTTGAACAATGCAGTTCCTTGAGTTCACTGAGCCTCATTAAGGAATGACTATGGGTTTCTCTGCTTACTACTGCTTTAAATAGCCTCCTAATGAGGAAGGAAAGGGCACTATGAAAGAACAGAAGGTATAGCAATTAAACTAGCAGTCCTGTTGGCTGTCTTGTCAGATACTGGAAACTGGATCCAAACAAAGTGTACTCCAGTGGTCCCAGTGCTTGGGATACAGCTGTGCATGATGCCTCAGAAGAGTACAAGCACCGAATGGTAAGACATTATTGAAGTTAAACTCCAGCCTCCACATGGGCTGGTCTTGATTTAACCAGGTACAGTGAAACGGGATTTACCTTGTGTATTTTTTCTCTAAAAAATGCTCACCTAATGAAGCTTGGAGGGCTGATCTTGATGGGCTGATCCCTTTTTATGAAGCAGTTAAGCATTATGTGATCACAGTCAGTACTTGGCTGTTTTCTGTGTTATGCTCAGTCCTCTTGTCTCTGTTTTTTCATGCTTGCCTATTAAAAGGCTTATTTTCTTGCATTCATCCTCCATCTCAAAGGAAATATGGAATCTCAGAATCCTGCCACTTATTGCTAAACTAGGAGTAGGTCCTGGGGAATATACCCTCTCAGTGGGGTTGGGGTCTTTTTAAGTTCTATTAGATTGTTTTCGTGCCCCGGAGAACTTATCATCTGGCCCCAGACCTAACAGAAAGGAAAACTCTAACTCAGTTTCCCTTTTTGTTCTAGCACAATCTCTGCTGTGACAACTGTCACTCTCATGTGGCGTTGGCCTTAAACCTGATGAGATACGATAACAGCACCTCCTGGAACATGGTCAAACTTTGCTTCCTCTCCCTCCTGCATGGGAAGTATGTCAGGTGAGCTGCGAACCAGTCCAGATCCAGCAGGCAAGAGGATCTGTTTACTGAAGTGCTAGCTTCTCAAAGTTTCTGATCCTTCAGCCTTTCTCACTACCCCAGAGAGAAGGGGTTAAGTTTTCATTTATATGTCTTTCAATGGTGTATTGAGGATGATAGGTCTCAGCTGAGAGCATACCTGCCCTTGGCCAGACAGCTGTGGGCTCAGTGCTTAAGCTAAGTTGGCAGGTTTGCCATCCTTTTTACCGGTATGTTAAGAGCAAGCTCTCAGGAGTGGTAGCTTGGCCTCTGAGTTTCACTGGGAGAGAGATCATGAGTGTTCTGAGCAACCCTATATCTCAGATAAAGAGCAGGGTGTGGTGTGCGAGGTTTTGCTGAGCTTATGGTGACATCTGTATCTCCTGGGACACTGGTGTTTAATACTTTTAATTGTGAAGTCCTTTTGGGGGGCTTGGCCTAGGAAAAGTTCGATCTAAAGCAAATCCTAGTTTATGGTTCCCATGAAATCTTTGGCTGCCTTTGTAATGTTCACAGAATTTCACAGTCACAGATTTTCTTTTCTGTCTTTTGTGTTGCAATAAAATGAATCCCATTTGTTGTTGTTGTTGTTAGGACTTTTACCCACTGCTTTTTGGATTTTTCTCCCAATCCTCTACTACCAGAATTTCTTTCAGCACCATAAGTGTTCACCTGGGCTTTTTTTTTTTTTTTAATAACTTCACTGCCAATTTCTCAGTCCTGGCGAATGCAATCTGTGTAGTCACGGAACAGGCTGAGCATGGCAGTTAGAGGACAAGCTTTCCCCATTGCTGTCCTGCTAGTGTGCTCTGTACTGTTCTGGAGGAATCTCTAGGAGCTTTTAGGGACTTCAGTCCTTGTGTCTTATTCACTCCTTGGCCTGTCCATTCAGGTTGCCAATTGTAATGGCATTTCATTGCATTTTTGTAACGTGGGAATTTAAAACCTAAGAACTGATCTGATGTCACAATCTCCTTTCATATAGCCACCAAATAGCCAGCCAGTGCTAACTGCTGGGCTGGATTTGAACTGACAGCAGAAATCAAGCTGGAAGTGCACATCAAGAGAGGTTCTGCAGGGATCAGTTCTGGGTCCAGTTCTGTTCACTGTCTTCATCGCTGGTTTAGATAAGGATGTAGAGTGTACTCCTGTTACACTTATGGATGATAAGCTGGGAGATGTTGCAAATGCTTTGGAGGATGGGATTAAAATCAAAATGATCTGGAGAAACAGAAGAAATGGTCTCAGGTAAATAGGATGAAATTAAATAAGGACATATGCAAAGTACTTCACTTGGGAAGGAACCATCAGCTGCAGATGTAAAATGGGAAATGATTACCTAGGGAAGAGTACTGTGGAAAGAGATCTGGGAGTCATAGAGGATCGTAGGCTACATGAGTCAACAGTGTAACACTGTTGCCAAAAGAACGACCATCATTCTGGGATGTATTAGCAGGAGTGTTGTAAGACAGGAGAAGCAATTCTTGTGCTTTACTTCATGCTCATTATTGAATTGTAACATTGTGTGCAATTCTGGGTGCCACATTTCAGGAAAGATGCAGACAAATTGGAGAAAGTTCAGACAATAACAAAAGTGATTTAAAGGTCTAGAAAACAAGACCCAGGAGGGAAAACTGAAAAAACTGGGTTTGTTTAGTCTGAAGAGAAGGTTGAAGAGGACATAATGGTTTTCAAGCACATAAAAGATTGTTACAGGAAAGTAAAAATTATTCTCTTTAACCTCTGCAGATAGGACAGGAACCAGTGGGCTTAAATTACAGCAACAACAGTTTAACATTAATGGTTGGACATTAAGAAAAACTTCCTAACTTTTGATGTAGTTCAGCACTGGAATAAATCACCAGGAGGTTGTGGAATCTCTGTCGTTTGAGATTTTTAAGAGCAAGATAGACAAACACTTGTCAGGGACGGTCTGGACCATACTTAATCCTACCTTGAGTGCAGGGGATGGAACTAGAAGACCTCTCGATCCCTTGCAGTGGCACAACCAAATTGCCTTTGAGATCTGGTTATTCCTGTGTCCACTAGTTTCATGTGTAAATCTGAGGAACAGAACATCAGGGATGTGACATATGTAAGTTGCATGATGCAAAGGTACAAATTAGGGTGATGGGTATAAAGTAGCATAGTTCTTCCCTTTCTGGCTTGCAACTCCTCCAGTTATCCCCAGACATTTCTCTCCCTTCCCACCTCCATACACACTTGCATAGGTCCTTGTCCAATTAATCTCTTTAATCCTCTCTCTCTCTTGCAGCATAGGAGGGTTCGTGAAGACCTGGCTTCCCTTTGTCCTTTTCTTGGGGGTGATCCTGACAGTCATTCTGACCCTTCATTTGCGGTGATGGATATTGTGAACTTCTCTTCCCATTGGTACACAAGGGATGAAACTGTGGTTGCTGATCAAACAGGCTGGGGACACAGAACGCTGGGAGTCACTAAAAAAGAAGATGGCATCTTGACTTGATAGGAATGGCTCTGATGTGTCCATCCTGGGAGTGATGTCTTTTGTTCCGTATTATGTCATTGGGGTCTCCCCATATTTTGGGGCTGGGGCCTCTGAATTTGGCTGCTCACCTCTCCTGCTGGTTGGTTTTGGGAGTGCACCCTGCAAGCTATGATCTCGACACAGGGTAATGTTGCAAGGGCTAAACCTGCCTCTTAGTACCTGGACAGCCTCCTTAGCACAAGCAGATACTCATTGTAAGGTTTTCTGTGATCTGGGGCTGCCTTTACATAGCTACTTATTTCCTCTCAGCAAACTTCATCACGTGCTGCTTATCGGTTACACTTCCCAGATATGGTGAATTTCTGAATTTTGGGGTAGGGAGGGAGAGTGCCTTTATTGCACAAATCTTCTATAGCACACATTTCCAAGTGGAGGCTGGAGTCTCCTAGCAGCCATGCTCACCTGCTGGGGTATGTAATGCCACTGTACTTGCGTACAATCTCCCTTGCACCTGGTAGTGAAACAGTGGTGCTGGTGGTTCCTCTGATAACATTCATGAGCATTCTCCTGTGGCAGGACAGCTCTGCTATCAACTAGCAGCCTCTGAATGAGGGCAACTGCACTAAAGCACGCATAGATTTTAGGCTGGGAGTGGCTCCTAGCAGTTTGTGCACTTCCAGAGACAAGTGATCAGAATCTGCACATCTGGTCCCTGACGCACACAGTGTACCTCCCCTGCTCTGTCTCTTTCCATTTTGTTTTCCTGCAACAGTTTACTTTTCTGTAGACCCTAACACTTGCGTACTACAGCTTAACCATGCCATTGCAATAGGGATGGTGATATGGTGGCGGCAGCAGCATACCTGTGGGATGGTACATTGAGCTGTGGGTTTCTAAAACCTATTTGCTCTGCTCTGGAGTAAAACTTTTGAATTCCAAGCCACTTGACGGTGAGTATAAAATATTTATTGAAGTGTTTGAAGACATGCACTTGAGAAACTTCAGTTTGCTGTTTCCCTTAAGCAAGGGCTTATGGAAGGTAGCCTCTGTGCCATACTTCAGGGTGGTGGCGGTTTTCCTACAGCTGGTCTCAAGTTATTGAACATGAAGATCTATTTGCTTCCAAGGCAGATGCATTATTACACCTTGAAAAGATCAGTGTTACGTTACACTGATGTAGAAGCATTCACCGGACTGCTTTGTGGGATCCCTTATGAAAGCTAAAGAAAGATTGTTGGTGAAGAGACCAACTTGATATCCCTAGAATCTGCTCACTCACCAGAGTCCAGGCAGCACAGATGTAGGCTGGGCAAGCTTCCCATAGATGTAAGCCAATAAATGTGCCTCAATCCTGACCTGGAGGCACTTCCTAAGAAAATCAGTTTCCATGTTTGTGCATTCCTTAACCTCTCTGCTCAGGGTGCTGTCCAGCATGCCCATTGTGATGGCTGGCTTTTACAGTGGCCACTTGTCTGTTATGAACTGCGGCAAGCATGCCTACACAATCACAGAGGGGGATTCATTTTTCAACTCTGCTGCTTTAAAAGGACAATTCTTTACCATAGCAATAAATCCCCGCCTCAAGACACTTGTGTTATGGGCAACCGCATGACCCTTCTCTCTAAGGGGACCCTTGCTTAGTTGCATGCCACTTTCACTGGTTCCCGTGCCTCTTGAAAGATCATTCCAGACCACACTTGTGGCTTTCAGAGATCTCTGTGCATAATCCTCCAGCTCCGGAGGAGGAAAGGGACTTCCCTTGCACAGCTCCGTCTCTGCTGTCTGGCATCCAGTTTTCTTTAGCATCACTTTCCTTGCTAGCCTAAGAAGGTCACATAGATGCTGCATTGTCTTTCCCTTACACCTAAAACTCAAATCCTTTTCTTGTCTCTCCAAGGGTCAGTTATTTCGAGCACGAGTGGAGAATAGGCTGCTTGCTGCTAAATAAAGTCTAGGCTGATTAGATATTAAAGGTCTCCCATCAAAGTGAACCTTACAGTGAGAGTGTGGTGTCTAACCAAGTTACCCTATGCTGTTTCAGTTATCACCTGGCCAAGTTATTACTGAGATAACAGGCCTGGCCAATTGAATAGGAAAGACACTTAGGCTACATCTACACTGCCCTCTCTTGCACAAGAAAATATGCAAATTAGGCATAGTGGTAAATATTGCTGTGCCTCATTTGCATACTTAAGGAGCTGCCATTTTTGCGCAAGGGGCTTTTGCACAAAAAGCCATCTACACAGCTCCTTTTTCTGCAAAAAACCTCCTCTTGCACAAGAGCCGTTCTGCTGCTTTTTTCAGGAAGAACGGCTCTTGCGCGAAAGCCCCTTGTGCAAAAATGGTGGCTCATTAAGTATGCAAATGAGGCATGGTGATAGTCATATTTTCATATTTTCTTGCGCAAGAGAGGGCAGTGTAGACATAGCCTTAGTGCTTGAAGTGACCTGCCAGGAATGGTATCAGGGAAACTCCAGAAATCTCTTCCAGAGCTAGACCCCAACCTGCTTGGTGCAGAAGCAGCTGTCCTGATACATGTTGGGTCGACTTGTGAGAGATGTCCCGTAAGCAATGCAAGTGTTGCCAAAGTTGAAGCTTTGACACTCTCAGTGGCTGAAGTAGGAGCCCTTCTACTGGCCACAATCCCCATTTCTGTGTGTTCAGAAAGTATCTTTGCCATCTCATCTTGCGTACACCCCCCACAATACCCCACTGTCAGGAGTATTAGAAACGCGTTAATAGCACCCACCTAGAGGATTGTCCGATCTGAAGTGGGGATTGTGCAGTGCACCTTTAGCTGATACAGGCATCAGACTGGGAATGAATGCACGAACCTGATTGCAGCAGCGACGGTGCTGTTGTCAGTGCTTTCTACAAGTCCTACCTGAAGGACTAGCTCCTGCTCAGGCTCTGGCCCTGGTTTCACAGACACCGAAGGAGTGTGCAGGAGTCACGCATAGCTATTCAGGGCAGCCTAAGGGGGCGAACAATCTAGGAGGAACCCCAAGATTTGGGTACCCTGATGCCTCTGAATGTGCCAAGCTGTCACACTTAGTAAGACAGGCCAAAGGAAACTTGGCACAGCTCTGTTGCTCCCAGAGCTATAAGCAGAGAACCAGGCACCTGTCTCTACTGGTAAAATTCAGGCCCACCAAGCTCCAGAAGTGACAATAATAATGGTCACTACTATAGTGCAGATGGGACAGGTGGGGTTTTTTATGACCCATGCTGTCTAACTGGGAGCTGCTCCTGGAAGTAGCTACACATCTGATTATTTTTCCCTTTGGTGTAGGCAAGTAGCTTTGACTGATGGACTTGCAGCTGTCCTCATGTTGCCTACAAAGGGCATGCTGCTCCTTTTTGAATAGCGGTGTAAAGGATTAACACCTATTGCTGAGGTGTTGCCATTGTTCAGTATTTCCCTCTTAAGAACACTCTCCCACGAGGGTCTAGGGCCCCCTGACCTATCCATTGCTTGTCTCAAGCAGGTCTGTTGCCAAGCTCCTTGGATTTGCCTCTGTTCTTTGTTAGGCCCCTGACCTTGTGATTTGTTCTCATTATATCAGGGCTATTTTGTAAATATTGAATTCTGCTGCTGTGATTTCATAATTCCAGTGGTGGGAAAAATAAACTCATTTCTGTGTATGTCTCCAAGCGCCAGTTCTTCCAGTGTTCCATCTCCTTTCTTCCTCTTGCAGTCAGCAAGGGATCATAGAACTAGAACCGGAAGGGACCTCGAGAGGTCATCGTGTCCAGTCCCCTGCCCTCATGGCAGGACCCGGGAGAGGTGTGTGTATGACCCATGCACAGCTCACTCTGCCCTCACCCTATCCTGTGGGTGTCAGGGCTGCAAACTGCTTTAGCGGTAATAGTCTGTGATTTCACCCCACTGCAGGTGTCCTGACCAAAGGTCATCCAAGTGCCATCTCTCAGCATTCCACCCTGCCATCTGTGACAGGAGAAAAAGGGATTCTTGGTGGAACTGAATAATGGCCCAAGCATTATCCTGCCTCACACAGAGCGGCTCTGGCTTCCTCCTCAGAAACCAGCTGAGGGGTCAGGGTCAAGCTGGCCATGTGCCAGCTCCACCTGGTGCTACATAGGCCACCTGCAGAACCACAGAAGAAGGCGTCTCATTGCTTATCTGGTGCTCAGTCAGCACGGGTATGGTCTTGAGCTCCTGCTTCCGTGCCTTGTGCATTGGGCTGTTGCTATGGGGCTCTTCAGGCATGTGTCCTTTCCCTCCCCCACTCAGTACCACACAGTCTGTCTTCGTGACAGTTACGACTGTATTTGGGGAGCCAGTTGCAGCCAGATTAAAATGGGGCATGTAAGTGGGCCCTTTCCCTGTTCTGGAATGGGGCTCAAAATTTTGATTGTGTCCAAGCTCCCATTAATGCTGTTGACCCTGGTGACTGGGCCTGCCCCATCCCCTCTGCCTGCTGTTACCACTCAATAGGTTTGAATTGCTAATCCTTGGAGATCACTGACAAACGATAGAGCAGGCACTGAGCCAACCTCCTGGGAGAAGAATGCTCTGGGATAGAAGATAAGCCCCTTTTTGCTTGGGCAGGTTTAGCCCACTTAGCTGTGAATAGATTCCTGGTTTCATTGTTTAATTCTTCTGCTTCCCTGTTTTCCTAGGAGGCTTGTGAGAGACTCTGGCTAGTTCCTTAACCTGCTGCACACCCATCCTCCACTTTCCTCTAGCAAGACAAAGGTCCTGCCTCTTTAATTTCACTGAAGCTTTTGGGGGCAGGGCTTGGGAAGGGAGTTCTCACAGCTGTGCAATGTGAGCTGTGGTCTAATCGCACTGTGGCAAGGCTGAATGGAATAGTAGCGTGCACACAGGCGGAGCTTTGTCCTTTACATCCCCCACCTAAGTCACTGGGGTTGCAGGGTGTAAAATGGGCCTTGGAATAGAAGGATTGGTACATATCAGGCAACCAGCTGCCCATTTAGTCGGATATCCCGTGGCCAGCCTTAAAAATAGGTCAAATCTACTCTTCCTGGGCCTTTGAAATTCTCCCTAATTATAAAATAGTCAAGAGTGCACACAGTGAAGTCTTTTCTGTCCAAATCCCCTCATTCTCTGTCACAGGCCCTGGGGGCTGAAGCCTCCACCTGTGGTTACCAAGGGCCCCATGTATCCAGGGTGCACAAAGACCACTGCCAAACATCTGATTGTAACTGCTCTGATTGTATACTGCCTCCTTGACTGCTCAACTTCAGTTCCTTTCTAGCGGGAGAAGGCTCTGTTTTGCTCCCTGCATTGCTGTTTGTGCTGCTAGCTGGCTACTCTGCAATTCCCCTCCTTCCTCTCCTCCTCTCCCTCCCCCATGTACCATGCAGATCAGAGGGCTGATAGTACGTGTTTAGGGAGCTGCATGGGGCTTCAGGAGTCCTGCTTTGCAAAAGACCCTGTCAAAACTACGACCAGACCTGAAGTTCTCAGCCAGTTTAATCAGATGCTGGGGAGAGGGCCTGGGAAGGAGTGAGCCAGTATTGAATAAGCCCCTTACAGGCTTATGACTAGTCCAGTTCACCCACTCTGCTTGCAAACCTGCTTTGTATCACTTTGAGTAATCTATCTTGAGCTCAAAATTATTAGCAGCTGCACATTGGCCTTTGATTCCCTTCACTCAAGGAACTTCACTGGTGAGAAGTTTCTGCATCCCATTGATGTCAGTTAGCAGGCTGCTTTTGATGTGTTCCTCTCTCTGGTAACCTATTGCTGCCCCACCTTAAAAAGCAGCAAAACTCAAGAGCACTTACAATGGCAGTGGAAAGACCCAGTAGACGTGACCGTGGGCTGTTTGGCCTCGGAGCAATGTGACAGTTTCTGTCCATTTTTGGACTCGTTTACAAGGACTGAAAGGGTAATGTATGGACACTGTCCTATGCTGCTTCCATTGGTGGGGACCAGGCTGTGGGCAGCTTGCCCTGGTAGCTACAGCCCCGACATGTCTGTTCTGTAAATGGCAAACAGTCTTTAGCCCGTCAGGGCTGCCATCTAGCACCAGTTCCCAGCATTGCTCTCATTAGCTTGCATCTTTAAGGCTCTATCCCCGGCTGAAGAGTCTTGGTGGCTAGTTCCTTTCTTCCTGGGTTCTGGAGAGGTTCTCCTTTATTGTTTGTGACAGGGTATTGTCTGCTTTATGTGGCAGAGCCCACGTTAAGGTGGAATCTCACAGTAGCACCAGGGCTTAAAGGTATGTGACTGGGCAAAGTTACCCTAATGAAATGCAGCTTAGTGCTGCAGGATCGCAGGAGAGGCGCCTGTCTTGATTCTTCCTTTATTAAATTCTTTGAAGCATTGTTTGTTTTGGCTGGCCCCACCTCAACCTCTGTTCCTGAAGCAGCACTAGCTGTGATTCTCCCAATGACTAAGCGCAGTGCTGACTTGCTGACCCGTGAATCCCTTCCCTAGCTGCCATTTGTGCTGCAAGAAAGACACCAGGATCATCTTCTCTCTCTTTCCGTTGAAAGCGTTTCAATCATGCGTGTGCAGCATTTCAAGCCACATGGAGAGGTGCAGCATTTCCCAGTAGAGTTACGGTGCGCTGGCTCTGCCAAGGCACTAGGCTTGGGGAATGGCTAACTAGTTTGGCTCATAGCTCAGATCATAAGAGAAGGGGATGAGAGTATTTTACAAGTTTGCTTTCAGGAATCTGCCCCCTACTGTCTCCTGCATTTTTCTGGGCTGCTGTGTGTAAATGGCAGCAATATTAAATGTATAGGAATGAGTAATAGTGCTCGAAGCACATTTACACCTGAATAACAGGGGCCCCGCTAGAGGACTATACTGCTTGACCAGAATTGATTTCTAAACCAACAAAGTGATACAACACCTGTGGGTGGACAAGCTTGACTTTCAGAGGAGCACTAGCTCCATCATGGCTAAGGATGAGACAAGCTTTTTGGTTAACAGGTTCTATTTCCAATGTGTTCTAAAATGCACATGCCAAGGTTATGTATAGAGCCCTGCAAATCGGCGGATATCTGCAGCTCATTTTTGTGGATATGGAGGAAGATACAAATTTTGTATCCCTGCAGATCTCTAGTTAGGGATGTGAATGTTTAACCAGTGAGCCTCACCCTTAACTGGTGAATCTTAGCAGTTAAGGTTAAGCAATGGGGGCTGGAGCAGGGCTACCCACCTGCTGCAAGCAGGAAGCTACTTCAGGCTCACGGATCACCTACCATGGACAGGGGCAGGTGGGAGGGCTTCACTAGCCAGTTTGGGGAGCCTCCCCCCACCCCTTTAATCAGTTAACCGGTTAAACAGTATGTTTTACTGGTTAACCAATTGAGTGGATTTTACATCCCTAGCTCTAGTGATGTGCCTTAGAAACTGCTGGACCATGTCAGCAGCAGGAGAGTTAGTGGAACAAATGTGGAGTAATTTGATCATGGGACTTCTAAGACCCTCCTCTCCCCAATGCACCTACCTAAAATCACGAAAGGGCTTGTCTTTGGGCAGCTAGCACATGCCGCCATGCCTCCCTGTCTGCCTTTCCTGTGCTGGCAGCCCCTGTACATCTGTGTCAGCTGGAAACTACCCCTCTAGGGCAGTGTAGATGTACTCTCAGTGCTCTGCTGAGAGTCCGATTTGTGTGATGATCACTGGGAACTAGGGTTGCCAGGTGTCCGGTTTTCACCCGGACATTTCGGTATTTTGGCCTTCTGTCCTGTAAAAAAAACAGAATACTGGACATGTAAAATGTCCGGTATTTTCTGTTTTCCTCAGATGGATGGACGGCGGCATCTGCGAGGGTGAGGGGAGCGAGGAGCACAGTAATTTAAAGGTGCAGCAACTTTCTCCTCCTTCCCCCTCCCCCCACCAATTTTTCCCTGCCTGGTTGGGATTTTTTGTGAAGGTATCTGGCAACCCTACTGGGAATAAATCATTCAAAACCCAACCTCCTATCAGTAGACCTCAGAGTGCCTTACAAAGGAGGTGAGTATTAGCTCTATTTACAGGTGGGACATTGAGGCCCTCGGTTACCTAACAGGTTAGTGGCTCAGCTGGAAATAGACTCCAGCTTTCCTGAGTCCAGTCCAGTCCTGTCCTTTAGGACACACTCCCTCTCTAGCCTGAACGAGGGTGGGATCTAACTGAAGGAACTATGGCTTTGTGGCTCAGGTATTGGCCTGGAACTCATGAGTTCTGGGTTCTCTTCCTGGCACTGCAAGAGGCTTCCTGTATAACTCTCGGCAAGTTGCTTCTCTCTGTCTCAGGGTATGTCTACACTACAGCAGTGGCGGCCCGTCAATACAGGTGAACTAGGCAGTCGCCTAGGGCACCAAGATAAACGGCCGTTGAGGGCTTTGGAGGCTCCAAAGACAAAGTGGAGGCTCACAAGAATGGCCAGACTGGGTCAGACCAAAGGTCCATCTAGCCCAGTATCCTGTCTGCCAATAGTGGCCAGTGCCAGGTGCTCCAGAGAGGGTGGACCAAAGACAATAATCAAGCGACTTGTCTCCTGCCTTCCATCTCCAGCCTTTGACAAACAGAGGCCAGGGACTTTGGAGGCAGAGGCGCCGATCGTGCGTTGCGCCTAGGGCGCCAGTTGCCAGCAGCTCGTCTAGGGCAGCTCTAGATGCCTAAACTGGCAGCTCGTCTAGGGCTGCTCCTGCACTAC